TATATATATATATATATATATATTTCAATTTTTTCACTTTTGAAAAATTCTTATTGGCATTTAAAATACCTGAAGTTTCGTTATGGAAAAACATTTCCTCAGAAACAAATCTTTCATTATTGAAATCAACTTGCTGTTAAATTCCAGAAAAATAATAGTTCATGTAACTGTAATATGATATTTATTTAAAAAGAAAGTCAAATTCTAGAAAATTATTAAAGAAGTATGTTTTGAAATTGTGAACATTGTCACATTACTTGTAAACTTTAACTTTTGTAATAGTAGTTACACTTAACATAAAATTTACAGTGATTGCTTTTTGTCAGAACAGCCATGTGACATCTAAGTAATGAAAATGATCGAAGTGTATTCCAAAATTATTTGAAACTCAAGGAAGAATTCAGTCTCTGCATCTTATCGTTCCATGTTAGAGATTTATATTTTCTCTCTTAAAACATACAAAACATGCAAAATTGAAATTTTTATTCAAAGGTTTTATATGAATAAAACAAATATAGTTACTTAGAATGTTACTGAGCCAATAAACTTCAAAAACTGAGTATAGTTCTTCTTTTGATGTTTGGGAAGGTATTAAAATCATGGTATTATTTGACTTTTCAGGAATACTTAAATACAGATCCTAGTGGTCGAGATATTAATACATCAATAGTCAAAGTCAAGCAAGGTTTTGAGCCTCCAAACTTCACTGGATTTTTTGGTGTGTGGGACAGATCATTGTGGAATGTAAGTGTTAAATATTTATTATGTACTGCATTTTCAATAATTTCTTTATTGCTGTCTCCCGGTGTGACAGCAGTAAGTTTACAGACTTACAAGGCTAAAATCTAGAGTTTGCTTCACCATGGTAAACACAGCAAATAGCTTAGATAAGTTTGCTCTAAAACAAACAAACAAGTATCTATCTTGCTTCCTAGATATTGTACATATTGGCAAGTTTACTTATAACAGTAGTACTTATGTTATGCCATCCATAAACTTTATTAAAAATTTGTTTACTTGAATGTGTAGAGGACCTTCTAAGTTAAATTTTCTGGATGAGCACTGTTGCTGTTACATTTGAAATAAGTGGTTCTACTCTTTTAGTATTGTGTGTGTGGGTTAAGATAATGTTTAATTAGTGGATTATCTTTTATTATGTAAGTACTATACCAAATTTTTTATTTGACTAACATTGGGAAATTTTGAAAGTGTATATCTTAACTTGTTTAATTTCTTATAGTAAATTATAAATACTTGTAAATTGAATATTTTACATTGCTACTTAGACAGTAATCTAAGCTAGACCTAAGTCTCCTAGATCAATCTGACCCTGTTTTGAAATTAAGTTTAATAATCCTTAATAATAATAGTACCCAACTGACAGTTTAATACAGTTTACTCTCAGTAAGTTTTTAACAAACTGTTATGGCTGGTTTGTTGTATAAATTGCAATGTAATCATGATTCTAACTCAAGTCTCTAGGTTAAACTTTAATAATAAGCATAAAGCACTAAGCTACACATTGGGCTATCTTTGCTGTGCCCACCTTCTACTATTCAGTCAGAAAAGCCCACCCATTGACTCTAAAGTACGGCTGAAGACTTATAATGCTAAAAACCGGGTTTTGATACCTGTTAGTGGTTAGCATACTTGGATTGTGAATCTGAAGGTTCATGGTTTGAGGTTCATTGTTGCAAAATTGACCTCCACACTTTGATGCCATGGATGCACTATAATGGTGAAGGTCTAATAATGCCGACAGGAAAAAAAAAAGTTGTTACAGCATGATAAAAGCTAGAATTACAAAGAAATGGCTCAAAATCAGTCCATATGAAGATCATTTGACTAAAATGTTAACAATTCTTTTTCTTTACTCCTTCAAGTGATTTTAACCATTTCTCTCTATTGACTTCTTTCACAGGTCTGTAGTTCATCATATATTTCATTTAGAGTTGGCTATCTGTGCTCTGCCCACCACATGTATTGAAACCCGGTTTCTAGTGTTGTAAGTCTGCAGACATACAGCTGTGCCACTGGGGGGTATTTAAGTTGGAAGGGGCCTGGTCCTTTATGGAAGATGACAACATGTTAAAAGAAAAGAAAAAATCTTCCATATTACTATAAGCCATATGTTTGTGATGGGAACTTTGAAGTATAGAAAACAGTGTTCAGCAAAGATATATATATAGTGGATCATTATGAATAGCTTTTTTACTCAAGCAAGATAAAGAGTGATTTTTATTAAACTAAAATATATATTTAAGGTTAACAACAACACAAACAGTCAGACAGGAGCTGGCATTGGGTGCTGTTGACTGGCTGCCTTCTCTCTAGTCTATCAGTTCAAAATTAGGGACAACTATGCACAGATAGCCATTTGTATAGCTTTGTGTTAAAATTCTGAAAAAAGAAATATTCAAGAGTTGTATTATATATCTTGATCATTTAATTCAAAACAGCAAACTGAACTTGACATTATTCTATGTCTATCTAAGGTATCAGTTTATACTGTGTACTTGGGATAAGATAGGTCCTTCCACATGTGTTTGTGCTTATCTTTGAACACTGTATTTTAATTGTGTGTTTTATTTTGTAGATTTGATGAACATAAATTTAATACTTTGAGTAATTGAAAGACACTGAGATGACCAATGTTACAATCTGAAAAAAATGCATGTTTTGTTATTTTTTTATGTTATTATTTAAATATGTTTAAATCCTCAAAATATTTCATGCTTCAGAACCATTTTTAAAGTAAAAATGTCATAATAAGGTAAGGCATTAACCAATTAGACTATCTGGTAGTGTTCAGCTAAAATGACAATTTTCTCCAGGTTTTAAAGTTCTGAGTAATAATTTGTAATTTAAGTGATCAGTCTTAAACTAGAGGTAAGTTTTACAGTATGGTTTCTAAGCATTTCATCCAAGTAACAACCATCAGCTATTTGGTTAAGTATTCACTGAAGTAATATGGCAAGATGTTTTTGTTTATGTATCTAGGTGATATTAATGTTCTATTATATTTTTGGTCGGTTATATCGGGACTTATAAAAAATTACTGTTGTAACATATTTTTGAATGCATTTTATTTTTTTAATGGTTGTATATATTTTTAATTTTGTTAGAGATATTAACTAGACCACATTAACTGTTAGTTTAAAAATACAAAGGTGACTTGTAAAACCTAGTGGTATAATATCTGCATTAGGTAACATTTAACTTCTGAACAGAAACATGAACATTATTTTCTGTTTTCTGTATTTTTATATTGTATTGGTTCATTTATTCTTTTTCAAATACTAAAAAGTTACAAAGTAGAGACTACTGTTGATTATTCATGATAACTTTTATTTATCGATACATACAAACGTAAATCAGGGGTGGATGCTAAAATGTTTTACTTATTATGAATGTACTACATATTGTGTGTCTCTATTTCATAGAACAATAAAACATATGAAGAAATCAAAGCTGAATTAGCTGAAGATAATCCTGGGATTGTGTTTATTAAGGTAATTCTTTTTTTTATTTAGAAATTTCAACCTTTATGAATGCTCTTTTTCCATCTTATTCCATAAAAACCTGTTGGTAATATTTTTCTTTGTATAATTTATGTATCACTTTCATAGTGGATTGCAATCCTGTTGATATTGTATGATTGCTTACTGTTATGTTTTTTTGAGAATACAGTTTGGGTTTCATTGTCTGCAAAACATGTTGAGAATTTGACATCACATGTTGCTGCTATGTGTTTATTGATGAAGCAGTTATATTTCCCAATTTTCATCCTACCCTATCTCACTGTGTATCGAACAGATTGCCCAAAAGTGCAATACTTGAGACAGTATGAATGAAGTTTATGTTGTTTTATGTTTAAATTAGCTGTATGAAAACCAACCTACAAGTGTAGTATGGATTGCAGCATTTTAGACTATCAAGTCCTTATAGTTCCACCTATTTACTTTGTGCCATTCTAAATTCTGAATACAGTGCATGCTGTTAGATGGTATATATGTATATTATTCTGTCTTCTATCCCTTAGTCATTTACTGAACTATATGGAAATAAAAGTTACCAACTGCCAATTTGATAATAATGTGTAGTAATATTAGACAAAAAAAATTTTTGTCTTTTGGTTCTTGGAAAAAACGTTTTAACAACCCATAGTTAAGTCTTCATCTTGATTGTATAATGTTTCTTAGATGACGGTCTTCAATGTTCCTTGATCCCAATCCTTTAATCGTTTTTGTGTTCTGTCTTCATTTAACTATGGTTTTGAGCTGACAGTGTATATTGTGTTAGGGTCCTAAGCTGACTATCTTTATTGTCCTAAGTTGATAGTCTTTATCACACTATGGTATTAAGTTGACAGTCTATTTTACATTATGGTCTTTGTTGTATTGTGGTCTTGAGTTGATGTTCTTTATTGTATTATGGTCTTGAGTTGATAGTCTTCATTATACTATGGCCTTGAGTTGATGTTCTTTATTGTATTGTGTTCTTGAGTTGATGGTCTATTGTTGATAGTCTTTATTGTATTGTGGTCTATATTTGATGGTCTTTATTGTATTGTGTTCTTGAGTTGATGGTCTATATTTGATGGTCTTTATTGTAGTTTTAGTTGATAGTCTTTATTGACCTGTTGTTTTAAGCTGACCATCTGTATTGCAATATGGTCTTAAGCTAACAGTATTGTTCTGTGGTCCTAAGTTGACAGTCTGCATTGGTCCGTGATCCATAGTTAGTAGTCTGTATTCTTCTATGGTCCTTTATATTATGTTATGGTCCTCAGCAAACATTGTTTCATTGTGATTGAAATATATTTTTATGTTTTAATTGTCAAACTGTAAAGAGTTGCTTGTGCCTTAGTTGTCAAGCAAGAAGCATTTTTATTTCTACTTATTCTCAGTTAACATTAAATTTTACTGTAGAATGTGTTGAGTCTTTTTAATTATTAGATCTTTATATTAAATTGGTGTACAGTAGTATAAATCTAAATTTTCTTGACCAAAATTTAATGATTGAATTTACTTACATTATTGCATTTCTCTTTTAAGAAGTTTGACTTATTTTTGTGTTGCTGATTTAGTTTTTATTTTAATTGACATTGTGTTATTTTAGTATCGTACTATACAAATGGTCTCCTTAAAGAAATATTTAAAACCAGATTTTTTTACAGCCTCAGCTTAATGGAAACTCTGAGAGTCCAGATGTGGAAAAATATCCACTTGAAGCATTACTCACAAAAGTTCTAGAAGAGCTTCCTGAAGGGGTTGATCCAACTGCAAAAGAGGTGAGAAACTTACTAGTGCAGATCCTAGTATCTGTATTGTATTGTGGTTTTTTCTTGGCTTTTAAATAAAATTAGGTCATATGGTTACTTACACATCTTTTAAAACTTTGATTATAAATGCACGGTTTATTCAGGGCACTCGTGCAAATGTTAAAGGAAGTTTGCATGGGAATTATACATTAAAAACTGTGTTGCAGTGTCCTGTAATCTTTAGAAACACAGCTGGTATTAATAATGCTGACAGTGTACACGTTTTTTAAACACTTAATTATAATCAAGTGTATCGAGTCATACATTTTCAACATTTTTATATTATCCGATTTCATAATTCTTTCAACAGTTTTGTATATTCTTCCCCAGTGGGTCAGCAGTAAGCTTGAAGGGTTATAACACTAAAATTTGAGGTTTTATCCTTGTAGTGGGCATGGCAAATAACCCATTGTGCAACTTTGTATTAGCAACAAGCAAACAAAAAATTAAATATGCAAAATCAACTAAAAAAACAACAAAATTTCATGCCTACTGAAGTTAATTTATCTGAAATACTATTAATTTACTAGGGTACTGGAGTTATTAATGTTGTTTTTTATTTATTAATTAAGAAAGAAAAAACTCATCACTCAAGTATTACAGTTACAGCCAATAGATAGTTACTAGAAACTCCTCTACTAATAAGAGAATATCATACTCTGACATTTTTGAACTGTCAGTATTTATTTTCTTTTAAAGAACCATTTAACTGACGAAGATTTCCTTGAAGCCTTTGGAATACCTTTCAATGATTTTCAAGGATTACCTAAATGGAAACAGGTGGAAATGAAGAAAAGAGTTGGCTTGTTCTGATTAACTTTGGACATTATGAAGTGAAGATTACAGTTTTAGTTTGTTTGTGATGAAGTGTTTATTAAATAAATTTATATTTTAGTAGAAAGAACTTACTCATTTCTTGCCCTTGAGTAACTGTCAAGTTTTAAACATTAATTAAGTTAAACCAAAATGTTTGTCCAAATATACATAATATTCTCAGTAAATCTTTGCCTGATATTATTTTTGTTATGTTATTAATTTTTAGGTTGATAATGATGACGTTTATATCAAAAATATTATTTTTATATGAACTACAGGAACATTATGATGTCTATTATGTTAATTTTGAAACTTTATTTTTTTAAGATATATGAATTAAGTTTCCAACAGAAATTTATGTATTGAACATATAGCTTGAGTTGAGTGTAGGGTCAAATGGAAAATGTATGTATTTTATTCTACTTGAAATCTGTTTGTATTTATGATTGATGTAGTGATTTATTTTAAATAGTTTTCTTTTAAAGATGTTAGTTTTAAATAAAGGTCCAGCTATTATTGTTAATGACAACATTGTATCACTTTTTGACAGAAAGTGATGCAACTTTTTCCAGTTTTACATGGCAAAAACTAGTCAAATAGTTGATGTGAAAATAATTTGACTTCACTTAAGCTTAAACAGTAGGTTTGGTGCAATACTTGTGAAATTTCTAACTTTTTCAGATATAAAAGTTGCAAAGTTGTTGAAAAAGAAATTGAGTAACAATATTGATATCAATACAGTATTGCCAGAATGATATTTTACAAAGGACTCCTGCATTCACTGTAATGTGTTTTTTGAAAATTCATTGCAATAAAGTGTTTTCATTATCATTGATTTTATCAAAACAGCATATGGACAAATGGGAAGCTTTGTTCATCTAGACTAGGGATTCTGAACCTTTTTGAGTTTGAGACCGTTTTTTTTTCTTGTGGATGAACCTTCAAGACAACTCATTTATCACGTAATTAAGAAGCAGCAGAGAATAGTATTGTTCTAAAACTAAAAATTGTACAATAATACAGTTCTGTACATACAGTTTATCTTTTAATTATTTCATAACCTTAAAACAATAACAAAACTTGTAGAATATCAAAAAAATGACCCACTGGTTAGAATTCCCATCTGCAAATCTGAGGATTTATGGTTTGTGTTCTATTGCAGCAAAACTTTGCTCCATACTTTGGGGTCATGGGTGACCTATAAGAGTGATCATCAAATCTACTCAGTCAAGTAAGAATAGCCCAAGAGTTGGTAGTTTAACAACTATGTGCAGATAACCATTCTGTAACATTTAATGAAAATCTGAAACAAGCTAAAAAACAAATTGAGAAAACAAAAATTCACGACTTTCCCCCATAATACAACCAGACAGTAAAGATGTTGAGAAAATGAAGCAACTGTCTTAGAATACATTGTTGTTTACTAAAAAAAAGAATAGGACTTCAGTGAGATTTGTTACATCTTTTCAACCTCTTTGAAACCCTGTTTGAACTATCTCACCATCCTCTGTGAGGTCATGACTCACAGATTCAGAATACATGATCTAACTTGTTTATATGCTATTACATTATATAATTTGTAATTTTCATACAAAATTATTCGTAGATACTTAATTAATTAATGAAGTTGATTAATAAACAGTTAGTGGAAAATAAAATCACAGTTTTAAATGTCTATAAATATAGTATACAAAACTACTAAACTATTATGCAGCACAGATGTATGATTAATGTATCATTATATTTTGCCTGAATGAGAAGACTGATTTATTTGTTCACATCATGTCTTTTAAGTATAACATTTTTAACCATCACAGAATTAAAAAAATGTATATTTTTGGTAATTATTTTTTGAAAAGTTTGTAAGAAAGATCTTTTAAAACATCCCACTGAGTTAATATTTCAATGATTATTAATTGCATGAAAAAATTAAGTTATATTTATTGGG